CAAAAAAAAAAAAAAAAAACGAAAAGAAAATTAATAATAATGGCTAATTTAAAAAAATGATGTGTCAGGTGCTTTGTTTAAAGCTTTAAGTGAATTGTCTTATGTAACCTTACATTGACTTTATGAAGTAGTACTACATCATCAGAGCTTACAGATGAGAAACTGAGATTTAAGAAAAGTTAAGTAAGCTTTCAAAGGGATAGTAAATAGTTGAATTGCAAACCCAGGCAATCTGACTCTAGAGCTTGGGCACTTAATGACTACCCCAAATCCCTTTATTATTATTATTATTATTATTATTATTATTTGAGTTGGAGTCTCACTCTGTCACCCAGACTGCCACTGTAGCCTCGACCTGCTGGGTTCCGGCGATCCTTCCGCCTCAGCCTTCCAAGTAGCTGGAACTACAGGCGTTTGCTACCACGCCTGGCTAATTTTTTGATTTATTGTAGAGATGAGGTCTCGCCAAGTTGCCCAGGCGGGTCTCGAACCCGCGGACTCAGGCAATTCACTCACCTCAGCCTCCCAAAGCATGGGATTACAGGCTGAGCCACCGAGCCCGGCTATCCCTTTATTATTAAAGAATGATCTCTTCAAAGAACAATGTCGTATATATTTCAAGATAGCTAGAAGAGAAGACTTTGAATGTTATCACTATAAAAAAAAGATAAATGTTTAAGGTAAGGAATATGGTAATTATCCCCTCATCTGATAATCATAAAATGTATGTATGCACTGAAATATCCCATAAATATGTACAATTATGTGTAAATTGTAAATTGAAAAATTAATTTACAAATTTAAACAAAAAAGCATATCTCTAAAGAGGGTTTTAATATTTTGTAAATAGTTCCTCCACACTTTCAGTGAAGGGTAATTTTCAGCTGAGTCATAATTTCAGAACACAGAAATGAAAGCAAAGTATCCAGTCATTTTATAAAGCTAGCATGATCAGAAAAAAAAAAATCTGACAAGAGAGTACAAGATACATTCCACATATCAATAGGCCTAATAGGAAAAAATTATATGACAATCTCAACAGATGCTGGAAACAAGTTTAAGAAAATCTAGTATTTATTCCTGATTAAAAAGTCTAAATACGCTAGTTATAGCATAAGACATGAAATAAAAATAAGAAGAGCAACTATAAAATAGAAGACCTCTGTTATGTGCATATTATGATTATCTAAAAAGGAAACTCAAGAAAATTCAATGAAAGACTTTGAGAAGGATAAGCACTTTTAATAAAATGAATACCTGTGGAAAAAATATTTAAAAATTTGAAGTGATAACTTTCCTATATATCAGTAAGAAGATGGAGAAAAAGCTGCCATTATTAATGGCAATAAAAAAGAGACAGAACTATAAAGCTTCACAGAGTGATCTAAAGAAAGATGTAAATAAATGGAGAGATATATCATATTCCTGAACTGGAAGATTAATAGAAAGATGTAAATTCTTCTTAAAATATAGTCAAATCATTATCAGAAGTCTTATATTGCTTTTTAACAAATGAAAGTATATGCAATAAATGATACTAGAAAAAGTAGATAAGGGAAAAGGATTAAGTATTCATTGATGATATATACCATATACCATGGATGTAACATGCGATCAGAAAAAAAAAAAAAAAGGCGGAGGGTGGCCGCAGTGGCTCACACTTATAATCCTAGCACTTTGGGAGGCCAATGTGAGAGGATTGCTTGAAGTCACGAGTTCAAGACCAGACTGGGCAATAAAGCAAGATGTTCTTGCTACAAAAAATAAAAAATATAGGCATATATTTAACTAATATCTACAATTTATATATTGGACTTTTTAACCTCAAAGCAATGGAGAAGAAAAACAAAGGAAATACACAGATTTGAATATAATAAAATAAAAATTTATTTCTGTAATATTTTTGGCATTAAGACTTAAAAAAAGTCCTAGGGAATATTTGCAGTAAACACAAGAAATACAGGACATTTAATATTTCCAAAGTCATAACATCAATAAGAAATGCATGAAGGCTTTGATAGATAAATTTGCAAAGAAAAAGAATATTTACACTTAATGAAATACAAATTACTACTTAATTTATGAAGTTTTGTTTTCATTAGAAATCAGAGAAATCAATGAAAATATGATATCATTTAAATTTTCAAATTAGCAGTTTTAAAAAGGTAATGCTCATCAGAGTCAACATAGTAGAGAGGATAATGACATGGGCTCTGCTGACTCTTGAATCTGAATTTATATTCTGACTCTGTACACAGAAACCGCATGATCTCTGGCAAGTTACATGACTCTGTCTCCACATTTCTAAAATGAGATAGGGATAACATATCTATTTTATAACTATTGTGCAGATTAAATGAAATAATGCATGTGATGCTTTAGCAGAGTGCCTGGCACATATTAACTGCTCAGTACTTGCTAGAAATTAATAATATGCTGGTGAGGATAGAAGGGTAATCATAATATGCTGCTGATAGGAATATATACTCATAAACCTTTCTAAAGTGCAACTTGGTAATCAGAGCTTTATAAGTACTTATATCCTTTGATCTGGCTATATGACTTCCAAAAGCTATCTTGAGGGTGCCATGTTTCCTAGATTTGGCCCCCTCCCCTGCCTTGGGGAGGTGAATCTCCTCTGTTTCTCTCTCTCTCTAATTTAATTTCTAAATAAACTATATTTCCCAGTCTAAAAAATAAAACCTATCTTGAGGTAACTGAAATATAGGCAAATATTATATATATTATATACAAAGATGTTCATAGATATGCCATATGTTCCATAGTGTAAAACTGGAAACAACCTAATAACCAGCATTGGTTAGAAAAATGATGGCATATCTATCAAGAAACATTGTACAACCATTAAAATCCTTATCAAGTAGATCTTTTAGTGGCAGAAGAAATTACTTATGATATAACACCAAGTCAGAAGAATAGTATATATACTGTGATCTCCTCTATGTCAAGAAAACAATGTATAGAAAAGCTCTAGAAGAAAAGATGCTGAAATACCCATTGTGATTCCCTAGATCAGTGCTCAAACATGGTAGAAGACTCATTTAGTAGGTCATGAAATCTTTCAGTGAATCTTGGCTAATATTTGTGATAAGAAAACAGAACAGGATAGGATAGAATCGGATAGAAAAGGACAGGATAAGAAAGGAGAACGAAATGTAATAGAATAGAATGAAAATATCATTGTGCATAATCTCTAAGGATAAGTTACTTTTTCCTGACTTGTGTTTCAATTTAATATGTATATCTACATCTATGTATTGTAGGGTGATTTAAATGTATTCCTTTCTATGTTTTATAGTTAAAAGTTTAAAAGCCAGTATCCTAAGTTTAATAATAGGGTTCACATTTTTCTTTGTTGTGTTTACTTTTCTATAACTTCCACATTTTCTGTGATAGCCAAGTACTAATTTGATATTTTACTTTGGACACAGTTACGCATGATTCAGAGTTTTCTCCAACATCAATATTAACAAGCAAAACACTAGCAAGGTGACATTGTGTCAAGAACATCAGCTAAAACATATTTTTTGGAATTTGGTTTTTATGTTAATTCCTCAATCTTTGTCCTTTGTGCAAAAGGCATTCTGCATCCAGAAAGCAGTAAAAGAGACAGTAGACAGCAATATTGTGGTGTCAGCATAACTACTGTCAATACAATGTCCTCCTCCCTTCTATGATTTCTCTATATTTAGCTGTTGGGGAAAAATGGTCACCAATCACCGATTTTGTACTCTTTGCCTTCGGTAGACTGAGGCTGAGAGTCCAAGGTCCCAAAATGTAAAGTAAAACATCTCTATTTGCTACTATTTACAACTCACTACTTGATGGTTTTACATGGTTGTGAAATAAATGCAGTGGAATCTGACGGTACTATGAACAACTGGAGCATCCACCTGAAGGCTGAGGAAGCACGTGTTATTCTTCTTGTCACAGCTTTATTGAGATTCATTTAAGAGATTTATTTAAATTTATTGAAATTCATATGAGATGATAGTCTCATTTAAAGTACACATTCAATAGTTTTAAAAGTATATTTACAGAGTTATATCATTGTTACCCCAGCCAATCAGAACTTTTTCACTACCCAAAAGAAACTTGATACCCGTTAGCCATTACTTCCAACCCTTCCATCCTCCTTAGCCTCTAGCAACTGCTAGTCTACTTTCTAGATTTGCCTATTTTAGACATTTCACATAAATGGAAACATACAATAGGTCTCTGTTCTTAATCCAATAAGTTATGTAAGACTTAGGTATTTTACAGAGTCATATAGATTAGTGATTCAAAAAACTTACATTTGTTGGTATTGTCAGCCTCTTACCAACCAATAATGGGTGAAAGTTACTATATGTTAGCTCTCTGTTATCTGTCCATTTGCTTATCCTTTCATGGGCAGTCCAGCGCAGACCAATCCATAAAGTTGCTTCCATATCCGGAAGCAAGTATGTAATAAAATCTGTTAGAAAGAGATTTTTAAAAGCATTTGACTTAATCAAATTGAAGATATACTAAAAATGTCAATGAATGCCTTTTGCTTACCCAGCTATCAAGATAATCTTTAACCTGCTCTGTAAAAAAGCAGCTAATATGGTTTTAAGATATGCTAATCCCCCGCAGCCTTCCAAAACTAACTTGGGCGCCAGACCAGAATAAAACATATTTCCCAAAACAATTCCAGTACCTTGCTCACTCTGGCTCAACACTGAAGGAAGGGTGCCACCATAGGAGTGACAGGTGTCACTCGCTTGAGAAAATTTAAGAGACATGGGTTTGATCCTTAGAAAACACTGCAAACAAAGACACATATGAAGCGTAAGATACAGGGAAGCTTACATAGGAAGTAAATGCCTCATCTTTTGGAGAACTGCTTATTTTCAGTCTGTGATATATGATAAATTGCAAAGTAGCACCATGAGAATTTAGGCTTATATTCTCAATTTAAACAATTGAAAAGTAGTTTTCAACTATTACATATTTTTAAAAGATCTTTCACTTATTGAATGCTTCCTATGTGCTAAGCAGTTTGTGTAGTATTATCTCATTTAATTCTTACAACAACTGGGCCATGAGGCATTAAATAACTTGACCAATAAGTGAAATAGCTACACAGTAGTAAGGTCAGCATTTACGCTCTGTTCCATCTGGTTTCAAAATCTATGCTCTTAATTATCACCTATCACCTTCTCTATCATAAAACTTTTTTTTTTTGAGTTGGAGTCTCACTCTTTTGCCCAGGCTGGAGTGCAGTGGCACACACCCGCATGGCCACCTCAGCGTCAACCTGCTGGGCTCCGGCGATCCTTCCGCCTCAGCCTTCTGAGTAGCCAGAACTACAGATGCACACTACCATGCCTGGCTATTTTTTATTTTATTGTAGAGATGAGGTCTCGCCAAATTTCCCAGGCTGGTCTCGAACCCACGGGCTCAGGCAAGTTTCCCAGGCTGGTCTCGAACCCACGGCCTCAGTCTCCCAAAGTGCTGGGATTATAGGCTAAGCCACCAAGCCCAGTCCATGAAACATTTTTAAAAAATCATTTCTCTTTCTCTTGGCAGAATATTTTAATTCAAGTTTACATAAATTATGCAAATTAACAGTCTTAGTCTTTTAGGGAACTAAAAAGATTGCCCTAATTAAAAAAAAATTAATGCACCCCAAATTTACTACAGATGCTATCAGCTGTCAGAAACATCTCTTTTCTTCTTCTTTTTTTTTCACATCATGAGCACTTTAGTATGGAGTAATATGTCCCAAACTGTGTTCCTTGAAACAGACTTCAATAATTTTTTCAGCCTTCTTACAGATTGGCATGGCCAATGAAATGTGGGCAAGCTCACTGGATGACTTTTAGAAAAGACCCTAGAACTTAAGCTTGGAAGCCTTATATTAAGAATGGCAGAGCAGAAATAAAATAAGCCTGCTTTTGAAGATTTCCTGGAGTTTCCACACAAACCTGCCTGCCTTCAAACATTTTAATGTAAGAGAATGAATGTTTTAACATACTGCAGCAATCTCTTTTTAGCAACCAAATACATTTCCTAATGGATACATAAGCCAATATGCATTATGCATCTCAAAGAGGCAGATACAGAACACAGAATTTCCCAAATCGATTTCATCCTAAAATTCCCATTTGGAGGCAAGATCAATGATGAACATTTTGTTGCATATGTGCAGTCCCCGAAAAGTAGTTTGGGATATGTTGGTCTAACTTGATTGGCAGATGCTGCTCGGATGCTGTCCTTGAGGGGGAAAAGAAAACATTAACCAGAAATTAAGTCTGTTTCCTACAATACCATAGAGATAGTCCCTACTATCCGATGCATTACTATCCATTGTCAGAGCAATTTCAGTAATTTAAGTGTTAGCAGCAACAGAATAGAAATGCAGTGCTTTAAAAGACCTGTAGGCATGACTAACTTGACAGTTAACTCTTGACATCACACACAACATAGAGGATCAGGAGGGGAACATGCAGAGGCTATCTTAGTGAAGTTGTGCAATGGGTCGCTATGCTGCCATAGGCCATATGCCCAGCCTGAGAGCAATCACTGTTTGCACAGTGTAGCAATTCCCTTTTTACCTTATTCTGAAAAGGAATCCAACCCTCAGAACATTGTACTTTAGCTGCAGAATCTGGACTGTATTTCTCTAATGAAGATACATTATACTTCTCACAGACGAAGGGTAACTTGGTACTACAGTCTGCTGGTTTACCTAAGTCTGAGAAATGAAAAGCAGGATTACTTTGGTGATAATTTTTCAGTCAGCATATTTTAAAAACAACCCAGTAGTAAAGAAAGGTTCTTTAAATATATCTTTCCAGATGGTTAAAATATATTCCCTTTTTCTCTCTAGCCATTTTTGTCTTCCATTATTATTCTTAGCAGTAGGTTAGAGCATACCAATAGTGCCTACAAAAACATACACATTTAGTATCACTACCACATCATCCAAGAATGGTGGTAGGAAGCAGGAAGAGAGTTGAAGGGACTGTCTAATGAGGGGCAAGGGACCTACATGATATTTTAGAACTACTGCCTGTTTATCTTTGTAAACTTGTCTATTTGTTTATCAGTTATGAAAGTGGTAAGTGTATTGGTAAGTAACTGCTGGTTTTAGGATAAAGGAAGTAAAAATTCTCACAGGGAAAAGCACCTTTATTTGCATTTGGAATTTGAGCTATTGTCATGAACAATACATTAGAATACGATGAAGCAACCAAACATAATCAAAAGGAAAAAAGGATTAAACTAGAAATTGGACCTTAAGTTCACATATTACATAATCAACATTAAAGGACCTGGAATTAACTTTACCAGTAAGCCAAGTCTTGGCAGACATGTACAAGCATTGCTCTCCAAATGTCATAGGAAAGTGGTGCCACAGATGTTGTGAACTGAAAGAAAACAAGAGATTTGACAACTTTTAATGTAATTAGATGTTCCATTCTGGGTGTTGTTTTTTTTTTTTTTTAACTGTAATTTATTTATTTATTTATTTTTGAGTTGGAGTCTCACTCTGTCACCCAGACTGGAGCGCAGTGGCCGCTCCCGGCCACCGCAGCCTCGACCTGCTGGGCTCCGGCGATCCTTCCGCCTCAGCCTTCCATGTAGCCGGAACTACAGGTGCGTGCTACCACGCCCGGCTAATTTTTTGATTTATTGTAGACATGAAGTCTCGCTGCCCAGGCGGGTCTCGAACCCGCGGACTCAGGCAATCCACTTACCTCAGCCTCCCAAGGCGCGGGATTACAGGCTGAGCCACCGAGCTCGGCTGTAATTTATTTTAATTCTAAATTTAAGTTTAATGCCATTGTTTTATACCACTTTTTCCTTGATGCTAACACACAAAAGGGTTTGGTTTCTCTAAATCAGGCAGTTTAAGGATTAATGTTTAAACTATGTGTAGGGCTGGGCATGACAGCTCACATCTGTAATCCCATCATTTTGGGAAGCCCAAGGAAGAATTGCTTGAGGGTAGGAGTTTGAGACCAGCCTGGCCAACATAGTGAGACCCTGTCTCTGCAAAATAAAACAAAAAACCCTCCCCCTCTATTTATAAATAGTAATTCATTTAGTAAAAGAGTATCTGGTACTGCTTCTTTTAAGTGATCACTCTACATAGACGGAATCACTGATGTCACCTACTATAAAAAACGACGATTTATTGGCTGCTCACTAGTTCTCACCCACCACTTTTGTTCATCACCAGATATCTGAAAAACAAACCAAACATCCATCCTTATAATGTGCTGAGTTCTCTAAGAGAGTTCTGATTTAAACACCCTTTCATTACTATAACCACAAACCACTACAATTTACAGACATTTCTTTACTTTAGTCTCAAAATTATACAAAACAGGGCCTTTCACCAAAGAGCAGTTTGAAAATTGTTTGTATATTTGCAGGCACACATTAGTTTAGACTAATACTTTAAGTGAGCACACAATGTCCTACTGCAATTAATCATACATTAAAAAATATATAAATTATTTTTCTTTTTAAAAGCTATTTTGCCAAGTTACTTAGTAGAAATAGAAACTCAAATTAAATATAGTTACCTTTTATTTTAAAAAAGACAAAGAATTAGGATCATTTGTGTTATCTACTGATGCTCACCTTGCTTACATATTTTTAAACATTAAACAATTCTATTTAACTTTTCCAACATGAAACAATGAAATTGGATATGAGCAAATCTTATATTAGAGAGATATTTAACTTTTATAGATTTTGGAAAAATTATTGAAATATTTCTTAGTGGAATAAGAATAAAAATTTTTTTAAAAGTTTAAAATACATTCTCTTGAATTACATTTGCTATTTTGTTTCTGATGGCTTTTAGTCCTGAAAAAGATGTGATAGTAGCAAGAAAGCTGTGATTGCTAGCACAGTACAGGACAGCTTCTTCATAGTTTAAGTGAGGATCAGCAACAAACCAATATTCACTTCCTTCAATGACAACTGGAGGTCCATGTATTCCAGCACGCTCTAGAGAAGAAGGAGATGAGAGTTATGACTGTGCAAACCAAGCTGTGTCCTATATACATGAGTTAATGGGCAAAATGCTTTAGAAATAAATAGCAATCCTTCTAGATTACTGGTTCTCTCTAGACAGAGCAGTGCTGACTGCAAGGAACCAAGGATTCCTGAGCCAGAAACTCTGCCACTCTCTTGTCCTCACAGAGAAGGAAAAGTCCTCATGGCCCCATTCCTTTCTTTCCTAGAGAAAGTGTATAGAAAAGAAGCTGGCACTTAAATAATTAACTAAATATATTATTGAAAAGGTAAGTGTCAGTTTTCTGAAATTTGGCTATATTTCTGTTTTCTTAACTCACCTGGGTTGTACCAGTCTGGTGTTTTGGGAGTGCGGCCTGTATAAGGAAGAAAGCAAGTGGCTTTAGTATTCAGTGACGAATCAGGGCATACTCTAAGTTGGGCCTTTAAAGCCGCTCAAAAGGACTTGCAGTATTGCTGAGGTTTGTCCATTTCTGCCAAGCCACTCATTTAAAGTTATTATTAGTTGAGTTGAATTTTGTGGAGGCTGTGCTAAAACTGCTTTAGGGATCATCAAAAAGGCAGATCTGTTAAATATTCACAACGTGTTACTAGCAGTCCTTTACCTTCTATCACAGAAGTCACAAAGGAAGACTAGATGGGTAAAATGTAGCTAAGAATTATAAAGTAAAAATAAGTAAATGATGAAAGTAAAAATAAGTAAAAAAGAAAGTAAAAATAAGTAAATGATGCAAAATATAGCTAAGAATGAGAAGGTAATTATAGGTAAAAGTACTAAGGAATATGTATCAAGATAATCATCATAGCCGGGCTCGGTGGCTCAGCCTGTAATCCCGTGCCTTTGGGAGGCTGAGGTGAGTGGATTGCCTGAGCCCGCAGGTTC